GTGAGTATGAAGTCATATGTTATTCCAGTTTTAATTTTCATTTCAGGATGTTATGTTTCTTTTCATATACATAATGATAATAAAAATATCTGTTTATTTTATTCTTTTTCCAATGCTTTGCCTTTACATTATTGATTTTTATTATTTATATATTTTAAAATAATTCCCATATTATGGTTATTGAAAATATTTTCTCCTAATCTGCATTTTTCTTTGTTGTGTTCTTATTGGTGTCTTCTCAGGAGTAGAAGATTTTAATTTAATTAAATGCAATATATCGTTTATTCTTTTAAGGTTAACTAAAATGTTTAAGTTATTATATTTATGTCTATAATTCATTTTGCTTTAATTTTGGGGAGTAGTGTAAAGTAAGACTCAAGGCTCAATTTTCTATATATTTATCCATTTCTTCCAGCATCACTTGTTGAAAAGACCATCCTTTTCAATTCAACCTCCTTATGCTTTTGTTGAAAATCAATGGACTACTCATGTACAACTGTTTCGAAATTTTCTATTTTGTTTCTTTGATTTATTTATTAACGGTAGATACTTTAATACATACCTGCTAACAGTTAAACAACTTTTGTTTGCATAGTATAGATTATACATAGCTATTGAATTTTCTCAAATGATTTTTCTTCATCCATTGAGATAACATGATTTCCACCTTTATTTGATTTAGATGATGAATGTTACTAATTTGATTTCACATCTTAAAGCAACTTGTTTTCCTGGGATAAACTCCATTGGATCATGTTTCATTATTCTTTTACTATATTGCTAGGTTCAATTTGCTAATATTTTGCTGAGAACTTTTGTACCCAGTTTTATAATTTAAAAAAAATTTTTCTTGTAATTTTTCTCTCAGATTCTGACATTATAGTTATTCTGGGAGTTCTCTTCTATTTTTTTAAAAAAGCTTCAATAAGATTGATATTTTTGTCTTTTTAAAATGTTTACTAGAGTCTTCAGTGTGGACATATGGGCCTTTGTTTTGTTTTGTTTTTAAATTTATTTTTCATTGCAAGAATATTTATTATAGAATCATTTTGTTTTAAGATAGATTTGAACAACTCACATTTTTCAGGGTTTTGCATGTCAGATTTTGGCCTTTTACTATTCACCTATTTTCCTTTAAATGTTTATGATACATGCAGTAGTATGTCTTCTTTCATGTCTGATATTGCTCATACATTTTTATCACTAATTTTTTTTCAGTCTATGTGCTTATAAATTGCATTAATCTTTCAGAAAACAAATTTTGACTTAAAATGTTTTCTTTATAATTTGTCTTTCTCAATTTCATTTATAACTTCTTTATTTTAATTATTATTTTTTCCATATACTTTGGGCCTAATTTGTTTTGTTTTTCTCTGCTTTCTAAAGATGAAAACTTACATGTTGATATAAACTTTAAAAATGTTTTTATAAGAGCAGTTACAGCTATAGCTTTTCTCTGTACACTGCTTTAGTCATATACAGTTAATTTTTTTACATCATCATTTAGTTTGACATATTTCCTAATTTTTCCTGTGATTCCCTTTTTGACCCACCTACTATTTTTTTTCTAACATTTGTGATTATTTTTAGATTTCTTAATATTTATTATCTCTAATTCTGTTGTGGATAGAGAATATATTTTTTGAAATTTAATGAGTCTTTTCTAAAGCATGTCATATGATTTATTTGGGAGAACGTTTCACTTGTAATAGTAGAAACTGTTTCCTTTGTAGTTTTAGCTGTAGAGTTTAAAAATGTCAATTAGTTCAAATAGTTTGATAGTTTGAGTCTATATTTTAGTTTTTTGTCTACAATTACTGCCAGTTACTGAGATGATGTGGATGAAATTTGTAACTGTAAATGTGAAGGGTCCATATCTATATTCAGTTTTGCTGGGCTTGCCTTATGTGTTTGGGTGCTCTGCTACTAAGGAAATGTACATTTGGATTGGCTATATTTTCCAGATAAACCTGTTTTATCATTATTAAATGTTTCTCTTCTTCTCTAGTAATGGCCACTTTTTTGAAACCTATTTTTCTTTGTCATTAACATATTTCTGATAGATTTTGTTTCAATTTTTTACTCTCAAAGTTCTCATGTTGTGGTGATAAATGTATACCTCTTCGAATAGAAGGTTTGTTGTGCTTTTAATCCTGCCTGACAATTCGTGTCTTTTTGTCCATTATAGTCTATGTATATATAATTATTAATGTGATCAAATTAAAAGTGACCATACTGCTCTATGCTATTTGTTCTCCTTGCCCCATCTTTTATTTCCCTCTTTAACTACTTGTCTGCTTTCTTTTTGGTTGCTCAAATACTGGTTAGTCATGTCTTTGAAATCACCAATTTGTACTTGCTCTGAATATGACAATATAACCCTCAATTTACTAGAGTTTTCTCAGAGTTAAAATTGTATACATACTAATACATTTTTAAAATTACAACAGTAAAATTTGATGTATGTTCTGGTCCTCTGTGCTATTGTTGATGCATATTTTACATTTCTATAGATGATATACTCCACAATGCCATGTTACTAGTTTTTTCCCCAATGTTCAGTATCCTATCAAACAAATTAAGAGACAAGGAAAGATAAATGATCTATAATCTTCTGCCTAGCAACTCATTTACCTTTTCCAGCTTTCTCCATTCCATTATGTAGGTTCCAGTTTCTACCTGTTATTTCCTTTCTTCTCTTGAAGTAAAAGTCGAAGGGCAACAATTCTTTTCAGATGTTGTATGTCTTTATTTTATTTTCTATCTTCATAACATGTTTGCTGCACAAGGTGTCTCAACTTTGCTTTTTTTTTTTTTTTTTTAACAACTTAACATCTTCCAATCCATTAACTTCTGGCCTCAATTGCTGCTGATATGATATCAACCATTGTTCACATAGTTTTCCCCTATCTTAATGTCACTTTTCTATAGCTGCTTTATGTATTTTCTCTTTATCTGTGTTTCCACCAGGCTTACTAGATTGTGTCTAGAAATGGGTCAAGTCAAATGTATGCTATTTGAAATCAATTACTTACTTGGACATATAAGTTGATCAATTTATAAAATTTAGGAAAATTTTAACTGATATATATATATTTTATATATATGTATACATACGTCTATATAGATAATCCATACTATATATAGATATATAAATATGCATATATATGTGCATGTGTTTTATAAACATATATATAGAGAGAGTATGTCGTGTGCTGCATAACAACATTTTGTTCCATGATGGACTGCATAATACAGTGGACCTCTAAGATTGTAATAGAGCTGAAAATTCCTACTGCCTAGTGATGTCATAATACAATGCATTACTCATGTGATTTTGTTGATGCTGGTTTAAACAAACCTACTACTGTGCTGTCAGTCATATAAAACCATAGCACACACAATAATCTATAGTACATAACACTTAATAATAGTAATGAATAATGACATTATTTATTACATATTTACTATATTATACCTTTAAATACTATTTTAGAGTGTACTCTTTCTACATATTAAAAAGTTATCTCTAAAGCAACCTCAGTGCGACAAGATGTGGAGGTAGAAGACAGTGATATTGACGATTCTGACCCTGTGTATGCCTAAGATAATATATATGATTATGTCTTAGTTTTTCACACAAAATATTTAAAAAGTAGAAATAAAAAATGGAAATGGCTTATAGAATAAGTATATAAAGAAAGGAAACATTTTTATCTAGCTGTACAATGTGTTTGTGTTTTGAGCTAAGTGTTATTACAAGAGTCAAAAAGTGTTCAAAAATTAAAAGTTTTTGAAGTAAAAAAGTTGCAGCAGACTAAGGTTAATTTATTATCAACAAAAAGATAATACTTTTAAATAAACTTAGTGTAGACTAAATGTACAGTGTTTTTAAATTCTATATTAGTATACAGTAAGGTCCTAGACCTGCACATTCACTCACTCACTGTTGAACACAGACTCACATAGCACAACTTCCAGCCCTTCAAGGCTCATTTATGGAAAGTGTCCTATACAAGTTTACCATTTATACAATCTCATATACAATATTTTTACCTTGCCTTTGCTGTTTTGATATGTTTAGATGCACCAACACCTACCTTTGTATTACAGTTGTGTATAGTACTTTTCTTAGCATAGTACCATGCTATTCAGGTTTGAAGCCTGGGAGCAATAGCTTATACTATATAGCCTAGGTGTGTAGTGGGCTATGCCATCTAGATTTATGTAATAATACACTTTATGATGCTTGCACAAGGATGAAATTATCTAACAATGTATTTCTCAGGATATATCACTGTGATTAAGTGATACATAACTGTATGTATTTATTTTTTATTCTACAAAGTGTTATTATCTCTCCTCCTCCTTCAATTAAATTCATATAATTTTTCTTAATATTTTCTCTTAGGTCTCTGAGATTTCATAATTTTAATTTTTCTGTTGTTTATATTGAAATATGCTTCATTTCTACTACTCTTTTCTGCTGCAAGTCCCAGTATTAATGTTAAAGACCTAGTATTATTTTTTCTTTTCAAGATACTATAATTTTTATTTGTAGTATTTATTTTTTTCTTTTAGTTTCCGTTTCTAACTTAAATAGCTTTATCTGTTTTGTAATCACCACCAATTAAGTCCTTAAACATATTGGCTTTGAATTTCCTTATCCTCTGAAGAATTATGTAAAATACCAAAGAGCTTTGATTATGCAGATTAGACCAATTATCATTTACCACATTTAAAACCAACACTTTTTTTGTTCAAAAAAAACAAAAATATACAAGCATACGTAATGTAGTCTTTAAAAAACTTTACCACATACATATAACAGAATGATAGAAAGAAGGCAAAACAGAAGGTTTCAGCATTGTTATGAACATAGTTTTGACACTGAAGACTTTCTAAATGAAGAAAGAAGAGTCTTCAGACCATGTTTTGAGAACTTCTGGTCTAACTTCACTCGTCTTGTGATATTTGGAAATTCAAACTGATACTGAATATAGCGTTAAAGGTATCTTTAATTGTGGTTAAATAATACAAAATTTTCTCAGAATTTATGGCCAAGGTGATGCCATGTATTCATCAAACCATTACAATATTTTCCTGGGCACGTAAGGCAACTGCATTCCCTACCCTGTCCTATCTTCTGTGATACCTTGTGGCCAGTTTTATAATATGAAATATAGAAGAAATTATGTAACACTTGGTTTCCTGGATCATCACAACTTTCGCCAGCATTTTCCTTTATCTTTCTGCTCTTCGAAGAGTATCCAATGGTTCCCCGCATTGCTACAAATAGGAGAAAGGATTTCTGAGTCACCACTTGAAAGAGAGTTACTGTGTCAAGATACATCAGCTTTGGAACATGTATAAGTCAGAATCCTTTAAGAGAGATTTTTAAGCCACTTAAATTTGGGAATTTTTGTTACAACAGCTAGAATATTTTCCCTGATACACCAATAACCACATCTTAGACTCACTTTAAACATATTATTCCCTACTAGGTGAACCTGGAGTTCTCCTTTCCTATATTCATCTAGCCTATGCTCCAGCCCATCTGCCCAAAAACTCATTCCTTTTCATCTGCAAAGTTTACATCAAGGCATGCCTTAATTTGTGATTCTAAATATGGCTATAAAGTTTAATTTTTAAGTATCTTTATTTTCAAGTATGCCTACCATTTGGAAACATAGTATTTTTACAACTGTTATATATAATTAGTGGTATTTTAAGTGACAGGAGGTATAAATGCCTGTCTTATGTTGAATATTGTTTATAGCTTCTTCCAGTTATATGCAGGTTGTATTATTATCCTGTTCCAAAAGTTCTTCACAAAATAAAAACAAAGTGATTCTTTGCCACTCAGCTTGTAAGATATTTCTCAAACTTTTTTCATTGCATTTTTCATTCTATGACAAATCGATTCACTTCATTTTTCTGCATATGATATCTGGTCCCATAATTTAAAAGAAATGCAGAGAGCCAAGCCCTAATTACTTTCATGCTTTTCTAAAGTTACGAGTTCAACTTTCAGAATGCCCTGCCATAAAACTTTTAATTGGATATAGAATTTGCTTGTCACTTGTATATCCAGAAATATATCGTTATGGAAAACATGGAAGAAAAAATACATTTCTACTTGTTAAGCCCCCCATTTGAAGTAAAATAAATACGGTTTCAAGTTTTCTTCTCCCACGTACTGGCTGTGTGACCTAACAGACTTTGTGTGACCTTGGCTTTCTCATATTTATAACAAAAATGTACAAAATAAAATAAATTATTTTTGTGAGATTTAAAACTGATAATATTTCTAAAGTACTTTGTATAATTTCTGACACATAGATTTAAATAAATAATGTTTATTATTTTTATCTACTTTATGGAGTTATTTTTTAATTAAATGATGTCCTTGAAGAGCTACAGATGAATAAGAGCAAAGATTATTTTTCCTCCCATCACTGCAGCCCTGTCATAGGGAAGAGTAAATCTGTTATAAAAGAGTATACATTCTCTGCTAGTCCAAAATAACTATGTTGCTAATAATATAGCAACATTAAACTATGAAAATATTGAGTATGTGTAACTTGTTCATTGAAGGGATTAAATCTATTGTGGATACACCAATGAATATTACCTTTTTCTCTAGCTTTCCCTTTTCTACCTCTTGATATAATCTTGGGTAGATCCCACAGCTCTCTGGTCAATCTGAAGTAATATACAACTTTTTTTCAGTCCAAAGATAATCTTCAAACTCACTTCCAAAATTTACACCTTCTTTGCCTTTTCAGTTTAGGGCACTGAGATTTTGGGATTGGCAGTGCCTGAAGTAGTTATTTATTTACTGTAACTCTCTTCATCTTGTGTTTTTTCCAGGTCTGGGGGAAGAGATATAACAAAAGAAATGTGTGGTAAGTGGAATAATGACCTCCATTGTTGTATATTTACAAATTCTTGAAGCCTGTGACAGTGAGTCTTACATGGTAACAGGAATCTTACAGATATGATTAAGGTTACAGACTTTGAATGCGAAGGTCACCCTACATTATTTAAGTGGACCCAATCTAACCTTGTGAGCTTTTGAAAGCAGAGAATCTTTCTCAGCTGTAATCAAAGAGAGATGATTTGATGAAGGCAGGTAAGAAAGATGACAACGTAAGAAGGATTCTATGCCCTATTGATGACTCTGAGATGTACAGAGTATGAGAAAAGACTGAGAGAGGATACTAGGAGGTGTGGGTTGCCTTCAGTTGGCAACACAATAGAGACCTCCGTCCTAGAACTACGTGGAACTAAATGTTGTCAATGCCTGAATGAGCAAGGAAGTAGATTCTTGCTTAGAGTCTCAGATAGAAAAATAGCTTGTTGAAACCTTAATTTTAGTCAAATGAAATCCAAGGGATTTCTGACTTACTCAAACTTTAAGGTCATAAATATGCATTGCTTTAAGCCACTCCTTAGTAACTTGTTGCCTAGCAATAGGAAAATAATACAGAGAATAACTGATACAGTTTATGCTATTTACAATTCACTTTTAACTGATCCTGCTTTGCATATCAGGCATCCAAATTCTGTATTACCTAAATCTGTGAGTTTTTACAGCCCTCAATGTTTCCCTGTGCTTTGGAGTTCCCTGACTAATATGGTTTGGCTCTGTGTCTACATCCAAATCTAATCTTGAATTGTAATCTGCATGTTTCGAGAGAGGGACCTAGTGGAAAGTGATTGGATCATGGGAGTGGTTTCTCCATGCTGATCTCATGATAGTAAAGAAATCCTCATAAGACCTGATGGTTTAAAAATGGCACCTTACCCTGCTCTCGCTCTCTCTCCTGCCACCATGTAAAACGTGCTTTGCTTCCCCTTCCCTTTCTGCCATGATTGTAAGCTTCCTGAAGAACCACCACCTCCCCCGCCCCCCACCCACCCAGCCATGGGGAAATGTGAGTAAATTAAACCTCTTTTCTTTATAAATTACCCAGTCTCAGGTGTTCTTTATAGCAGTGTGAAAATGGACCAATACACTGAAGTCGATTCTACGTTAAGAGACAGAAAATTTTGTGACAACATTCTTCCACCGATCCTTGATACTGTATTGACTAGCTGGCTGCTTTCTCGGGAAGAGTCCCATCTAATTAATTTGAACTTTGCCACCTTTCACAGAACCACTTGATCTACAGGAAGCTCATAACTTCCTTGCCGTCTCTATGCCAAGGGTGGGAGCTGTCACTACTTAATGAAGTACTCTTCCTTTTCTCTTGGGGATACTTGGTTTGGGGTGGGAGTGAGGGGCAGAGTAGGTAGAGAAAAGCCAAGGCAGTTCTCATCGGGCCTACAAACTCCTTGATTCTCCTTCCTGGCAAATTCTTTGATTATGTTACAAAGGCTGGTACTGGGGAGTTGGGATGGGTAATGCTTATTGACACGATTTGCCTTAAGATTAGCTTTGAAATACTTTTCTTAAGCTACAATGCCCATTCACTGAAACAACTGGAAAAAAAATATGCTTTTACACATTTACTTTTTATTTATATTTTTAAAAGACATCTTTATTTTTATTTCTTAACTAGAGACAGGGCTTCACTTTTATATAATTGAAGGCAACATATGAAGCATGACTTTATGTGTATCTTAGAGTTAAAAATGATAAGAGGTTAGATATATGATTCTATTGTAGACTACTGAGTTTTTGTGATGGCTACATGGGCTCGGAAGGGTATTATTTAATTAAACATTAGCCATACAAGGATAACATTAAACCTGATTATCTTCCTGTCTTCTTACTCCACAAGTTCTTTCATGTAACAGAAGTATAAGTACCTTTTCAAGTAGCTTTCCCTATTTAATACATTTTTTTAAATAAAAAAATGTATTAAAAATCACTAGACTGTTTCAGGGTCAACACAACTGTATTGAAGAAGCGGCTAGAAGATAACTAAGACCACAGTTGTATCCATTAACCAGACACAGAGCCATGTGAATGTAAGCACTGTTGGAAACTGGCAAGCAGTGTTTACATTTTCATTAACAAAAATGGCTCTCAGTTGTAAAGAAGGACCTTTCTAGAAATCTGGAAAGAATGAAAAGAACACAAATTATACTAATTGAAGTAATGGAAGCCAGCTTGTAAGGCCCAGACTAATCTCTTTTTCCGTAATAAGTCCCAGGTTCATCACTGGCTTGTATAGAACACAGACGGTGGAAAAAGAGTCACTCTAAGAGAGCTAAAACTGGGCTTTCCTGAATTCCTTGTACTAGCTTTTCCCTTGGCATACAGTTGAGAGCCCATATAAAAATTCCTTTTTACTGTAAAAAAATTAAATTGTTAAGCTATTTTTTTCATTGTTTACTACTACAAGATGACTGCAATGGAACCCAGTAAAAGAATATTCAAAGTCAATAATAAACTTTTCACATGAATGGAGGATGTAAAAACCCCATTTCATTGGCTTTGGAGGATGTAAAAACCCCATTTCATTGGCTTTAAGATTTTCATAACTTTCTCGTCCAGGAAGAAACCAATATCAGCACTTCTGGGAATCAAACTCTTACTTGAAAGAACAGTAGAAACAGTAGCAAAGACTGTGGAAAGATTGAACATGAAAGATCAAGATTTAGAGAATCAATCCACAGGAAACTGTCCAACATTCTTTCCCTAAAGAAAAACTAGCATATAAACCTGGTGTCTTCATTATCTAGCTTGGAGCAGCGCTCTCGGTGGGCCGAAACTTTGTTTACTGTTTGATTCTGTCTACCAGTCTACCTGCAGCTGATTCCCGGCAGGATGCCATGAGGATATTTAAACTCTTTTAGATCTCTGTCAAAAATGAAAGAGCAGTTGACTGTATTGAAATAGATGTTAAGACATTTTTCATGTTAAACAGGGCTAAAAAAATAGGGGTGAAGAATAAGCTGTTTGGGAGAGGAAAAAATAACACAATTTCAAGGTTCTATGTTTTTTAATCCTTAAGAATAACTTAATGATCTGCATGTACTAGGTTATGTTAGGCTATATTTTAATAGAAATTTCAAGATTTATAATATCTTGTAAAATGTGTAAACCAGTTTCTCATTCCTTTTCTGATTATCAACAGGACAATTGAGATATGATAACCTTTTAGTTTTCTATATCTGTATCTATAAACTACAACGTTTCTGTTACTCTAAGAAACACAAAACTGTTTTTTTTTTTTGCTTGTGCCAATATGACTGCTTCTATTTAATAAAACAAAAATATATTCACATTGCATTTCAGTGTCCAAAATATTAGAAGTTTGTTTGTTTGTTTGTTTGTTTTTTCCTTTTAAGTCACCTAATCATTCCTTGTGATTTTTCCTTTTTTTTTTTTTTTTTTTCTGGTAGTGGTAGAATTTAAAGTCAACAATTTACTATTAATTATTTCTAGTTAAGAAAAGATTTTTTAAGTTTAAAAAAATCATTTTCATGCTAATGATAGACGTTCTTCCAGCATTAAACTTAATTGTTTCATCTTAATAATTCATATATGTTCTTTTTTTCACGGTTAGAGAAACACCAACAAGCTTTAGTCTGAGTTTGCTGCAAGTGAAACACTGGCAAATATGAACTTTTTTTCTTTTAAGGATACTAAGTTGTGAAAGGGATTAAGCCAGTCATGAAAAAAATCAATGACATATTATTTTAGGTAGCATTTATGTTCCCCTTTGAGGTTCTCTCTTAGAGAAAGACACAAACTAATTGATTCAAGAGCAGAGATGAGGTAATTCAAACTTACCATTTAAACGTGTTCAACATAATACTTCCATAACAACTTTCTTTTTTTTTTTTCCTCGCCAACAGAAAATAAAAATAGAATACTGTTGAGTTCCTTCTCTGAGGAGGAAAAACCCTTCAAAAGCATACATAATACAGCCTATAAGGCACTAAGGGAAAAACAGCCTATTTGTACTCAATTCTCTTTATTAAACTTTACAGAAGAGCAAGCTCATATGGGTTCTGCCATCTGTTTGGGAAAACTTATAGATCTGGGTGATAAACACAAATAACTTAGCCACTAGAACACTTATCCACCTGTAAAATATTTACTAACTTTATTTTATTTTTCAAGCAAACTTACTCTAGTAGAAGTAAATCTAGGGGCAAAAATATGAGGAAGGACAGTAATATCTTTTACATGTAAACTGGCAATAGCCTGTTTCTGTTTGTGTGTGGTGGTCTATTTATTCATGCATTTGTGTTTCTTCACTGAGTAGATTTTTTTTTAATTGTGAATTTTTAAAGCTTGTGGAATAGAACTATTACTGTATTACTTGCTTTAAAAATACTGTCTAAAAATTAAGAGGCCATGTTTTGTGGTATCCATTTGTTTTAATACAGATATCATCTTCAAATAAAAATGACATTTCTCAATTAAAATTAATCAAGTCATTTTTATGAATCAATATTACAAATATTTTAAGTCTAATAAGCATAGCCAAAGATCCAAACTGTGATAAAGGAAGTTTTACTATATTTAGAAAATAACACAATAATTATATTTCCAAGTGCCTGAAATCAATATGATTTCCTGAACAAATTTCTTCTTAATATGAATAACTCTTGTTGTAGGAGGTTCAATGAGACTGGCTAAGTAATATAACCTGAGGGCATCAAGGTTTAATTCCCTCTCTTCCATTTTCCTTAGAAGTGTTTCAACGATACTCATGGTTCACTCAGTTTAATGATCTGGGACAAAAGGAATGTGCCCATCTTGGTTTGAAGCTTTCTGCAGATAAGGCATTCATAAGTACATTGAGGACAAAAGCCAAGTACCACTATTTTTCTTCTTATAGAAAGCTATTAAGCACAAACAGAGTAAATTTAGAAATATATTTTAATATACCATCAGTTTGTCCTGGGT